GTACGTCCGTTGACTATTGATTGGCGCCATCCTCTCCACTGTTATCGGCGCTCTGATGATGAAAACGAGCATGGCAGCAAGAATACAATTTGGTCCCAGCACTTGCCCCCTCTTCTTCTTCCTCTTCCGGGGATGATGAGCACGATAACTTACCCACATATTCTGTCGTCCCTTCTGTCTGCGGATATACTAATAAACGTGTTCATCGTTCATGAGGAAAGTTTACCTAGAATCGGTCACAGCCCCTTTCCTTCAGAATATATAAACAGCATGGTGGGAGAGGAGGCATAAAGGTCTCAACCGCGGCGAGGACGTCAATGGAACCCAGAACACAAGTATATACAATGTAAACGCGTAGTATCAACACCCTGCCATGGCAGTCCCATATTAACCTGGTCATCCACCCCCCCCCACCCCCTGCGTATACACCACAGGAGGACTTGTGAACCGGTGGCAGGAGCCGCGATCAGGAGACATGGACAGCACCCGCTACAATGTCCGGGTACATTCAGGCATCGCATTGAGCTATTCGTTCATGTGCACGTACATAGTCAGAATACTAAACGACGACAACAACAAGCCAGGTTCTTTTATATCACCATCCTACAGCATGCGGGCGCAGAAAGGCCAACTTCCGCTTGAATGAGATTATAGCGGTAGTCGAATTGCGCTGCGTCAACCGCTTTCTGTCCTCCTCTCCCATCTGAGCCTGTTAACTCAGAAGTCACTCCTCGAATTCGCCTGCGTCTGTACAATTGGCTACTCGGCTTTCTCAGTGGCGGCGAAAAGTGAAACGGCCTCCAATGATGGCGAGTTGCAAAATAAATCGGTTGCGGAGGTGGGCAAATAAAGTAACCAAAATTAGCGGAAAAATTCGCTTTTTTACAGTGTGAACTACGAAGGACATCCAAACGGTTCGATGGTCACGACTTATAAACAATCGTAGCACTAAAGGAGATCGCTGCAGAGATGTCTGTGTCAGAGGAGTCGAGAAAATTTATGGGTAGAGGGTAGCAATGTTTGCCAAACATCTGCGCACCGAAAATGGACCGTTGATGTGCCTTTATAAGAGGTCTGAAGACGACCTGGAGAACCCGCCCAGAAAGGCTCTAACGGAAGTAATGAATATACTGCCACTAGCACATGAAGATAGGATGAGAAAAACGCAGCCTACCCATATTCGTGAGAAGGACTTTCTCGGCGTTGTTCGGCAGACCCAACCAGGACGGCGTCTGCGTTGCAGGCAGGCGATTGGACCAGGCAATCAGTTCGTCGCGCGAAGTGCCCTCCGGTACGAGGATA